GAACTTGTGAAGAACAACATTAGCATCATTGCAATTGAAGGTTTTGAAGTGCTTGGCGATGTCAGTTTTCAGATGGAAAAACTCAAGGTTAACTCCTAGTCATCAATTATTCAGTTTAGTTATTTTTTTGCATTTTCTGGCTCTACCTTGCCACTGCCTCTTAGCTTCTTCTCAAATCTGGTGTCTTTTTCTGTTTTAATTAGAGATTGGATGCTAGAATAATTATCGGAGAGTTCAGCTTCGTTGGTGCAAGGAACGTTTTCTGTGAAGTAAGTAATGTAACAAAGTAGAGAATGTGCTTTATCCTGATTTCTATTTTCAGTGTTCAATGCTGACCTAACTTATAACTTGACTCATGACTCGTTGACTCTAGCCTGCGTTGCCGAGACAGACTTGTCACTAGAGTTCTCTATCTGGGTCTCGAATCGGGGAAACAGACTGTCTGCAACGCAGGCTAGTTGACCCATGTGACTATTAAAACAAGATTTCTCACATTAATGCCCACGATTTGTTATGTTTGGTCCTTCTCAGACCTTTTAACGGTATGAAACGAAAAAGCAGAGCGCTATGATGTTTTATCTTTTTTTCTGACAAACAAAAACCTTCGTTTAGCTGTGTTACATATAACTCTAACTCATGAAATTTTGATAATACAGGCCTTCAAAAGGAAGATGTATGGACCGAATTATGCTTGGATAATATTAGGTGAATTCAGCCCTACAGAAATTTTCGCTGATGACCTGACACTTCAAAAAAGTGTTTTAAGTGATTGTTCAAGTAACGAGCTAAAGGAGGCAGCAAATGGTTACATTTCCACCATCAAGCTGGACATCCGTAAGGACAATAACCAAACCATGTCCGGCTTGGTAAGTTGACTAGTACGTTGATAGAGGACATTAACTATTGCGCAAACGTTTCCCTTGCTTTGCGGCACTGTAGCTTTGTTTGCAGGTACGAACACCATCAAGTTACATAAATGCAGTGTTTCTTTCTTGGCACCGCTTTTCGCTCAAAGGACGGTGAGATGTTATTGAGAAGACTGCCTTTTCAAGTTCTAGCTTTCTTTGCATTCAAAAAAACAGAACTTTCCAAATAAAACACCAGTTCTGGGACGCCATTTTTTTTCATGTTGTTGTCGTTATCATTGTCACATTAACGTTACTTTTTCATGTTTCTTAAGACGTCTGAAAGATTCTGGTGGCAGATGAGGCAACTGAACAAGAACAACAATCTGAGAAAGGACTCTGCTTACGCCTTCGATTCAGCATGGGTAGTAGCCATGGCACTGGATTCCGCTTTTGCTAAAGGGATGAAATATGAGAAGCTTTTAAACCGAAAATTCAAGCAAGTTGTAGCGATAAGAAGTGGTATTCAAAACATAAACTTCGCGGGATTAACTGTAAGTATAATCTACGATAACACGGCATATTTTGAATTAAGCGTTTTATCAATAAGCATTATGCTACACTTTCTTTTAAGACACAGAAACAGAAAAATTGTTTTGGGTGCAGGCAAAAGCTACTTTTAAATAACAATATACCTCAGTTTTTCTTAAAGATTCCAGTACTTTTAAGATAAGATTTAGTATTTTTTTTGTACAGGGGCCTGTAGGCTTTGATGAAAACAGAGAAAGAGTTGGAACAGTTCTTATTAAGCAAAATAGAGAAGGTAAGCTGCTCTGTAAGGATAATAGTTTCTTTTAGAAAAAGTGCTTGGAAGAAGAATTTCCTCTAAAAATGACAAGATGAGTTATGAAGAAACGCACCATTTTGCAGTCGTCTCCCAAAATAACAAGCACATTAAAAAATACATTAACTTACAGGACGTTGAGAGAAGACCTTGTTATGTGCATTTAAAAAGAATTCTATAAAATGTTTCTTGATACATATTTTTTTTCGCATTGTAATATTTATAATCATAGTCGTTTCAGTTTAAGTTTCAGTTGATTGCCAGCTCGTTATGTGAATAACAGGTAAGGTTTTTGTTGTCCTTTTTTAGGAAACGAAACTAGGATTGGTCAACATTTCACCTCCTCCGACGAACTCCATCTATTTGAATCTGAGCGAAATAAGATATGGGAAGGTAATAAATGTTTCCGTTGCACTTCAATGTCTTATCAAAATATCGAAATTGCAGTCACTGATGATGATGACGATAATGATGATGTAATGACAATAATGATAATGATGACGATGATAACATTGACGTTGGTGATTTAATAGATCTATTCGGCTAACTCAATGTTGTACCCAATTCAAATCTCCCAGGGATAAGATTCTTTGTGTATTATATTTGCATCATAAAGTGGCATTCACATTTAAATGATATGGAAATTCCTAAAACAAAACGTTTTATTCCCAAAGGGTTTGAATTGGGTACAACATTGAGTTGGCCGAATAGGTCTATGAATAATCGATTAACATGTCGGTAGATTCTGTCGGAAATAACCGAAGCTGATATAGCGTACACTCCCTCGAGTGCCTTTTTATTATTGAAGCGCCGTCCACTTGCCACGTCGTCAGCGTCTGGTGTCCTGTTTAGTTCCTTGAACAATCTGCAACTCTAAGTACATTCTATAATTTGCTCATCTGATGTTCAGTATTCTTTACTGTCTCTCCAGTTAAATGTAGACATGAGTTTAGGGCACAGTCCGTTCAGGGTCAACGATAATATGCATGAGCGTATGGACTCCCCCAAATTTAGGGCTACTCAGATTTTTTGGGCAGCAAGGGAAATTTGGGCAAAGCCAGCTTTTAAAGATTCAAAAACCTACCATGAGAGCAGAGCTTTAATGACCACCATTTGTGACTTGGAGTTTATCTTCGGTCTGTGTGTGCTGAAAGTAATCCTGAGTAATAATAGTAGTCTGTGCAAGGTTGGGACTGTGAGAATTCTGTCAGATGTGCCATTTCCTAGGGAGGGAGAGATTTACTAGATCCTTCTAGACTTTGCTTAAGCTCTCTCCAGCTAAGTTTATACCATTGTTACTGGCCCAAGACGTTTCTGTTGCGTGCCCATATATGCGACGCGAATTTTGTTAGAAACGACCCTTATCTGTGGATAAACAGGAGGCTGACCTGCAGCTTGAGCTGGGGCTATGAACGCCTGCTACGGTGAGATTTCTCTAATTTCAGGCATTGTTCTAAGCAATTACTTAATGCCAAAGAAAGCAGAGAAAAAGTCTCCATTGTTCAATGTTACAAGAAACGCCGTCGCGTGGTTTTGGTTTTGGACTCTTTTTGATTTCATCTTTTGCATTTCTCTTTCAGACAATCGACCACCGAAGGATCACACCAGCAGAAAAATTGAGCTGATGATGAGTCCCTTACCACTTATCGTCATAATGTGGTTCATGGCAGCGATCGGCACCATCTGCTCGTTGAGCTTTCTATATTTTAACATCAGTAAAGGTAAAAACAGGTAGGACTTTAACCTTGCTGTTTCTGACCTTTTCCAATACAAAACATATTCTCAGGCTAAAGCCTTTTTGAATTGTTTCCGATCGCTAATCTCAACTTGCATTAAATATAGGAGCTCTTTGCCTATTTACATCTTTTATTTTCATTTTGTCAGGATAATCAAGATGTCGTCGCCTAAACTTAACAATATTATTATTATGGGATGCATCCTGTGCTACGCCTCCATTGTTTTGTTGGGTTTGGATGCGAGGTTTCTCGATTTGCAAGGTTATGGCATCAACTGCAACGTAAGGAAATTAATTATTAACGAGCATTTTCTCGAGCAAGAGTCTACCCTTTTCTGACGTATAATATAGCTGTAACATTTCAAGAGAAAGCTTTCCTTCATTTTGGTGAACAATGTACTAAGGCGGCTAACGAAGAATTCCCGATAAGATAGGTGTTAACACGGGTCCGAACAAATTTTTGAACGGACTAATTTTTTCCCTGTGCAACCTGTTTACACGGAACCGTGCCAAATCTGTGCTAGCTTGCGAGCAAGCTCTCCTATTTGGGCGAGTGAAGCGAGTCTCGCGAGAACGCGCAAGCGAGCGAGCGGCGAAGCCGTGAGGGGCAGGGGAAAGGAGAGCTTGCAACGATCTCTCATAAAATTTCATTTGTACTTCGTCCAGACGAAGGGAAATACCATTGGCTGAAAAATGACGTTCCGGAAATCAAAGTTGACTGATAACAGGTCAAGCTGGCACCCGCTTCGTCTGTGTGTCAAAGTTGGTTCTCAAGGGGATCAGATTGGTACCGAGAACTTGTTTCAGCCCTTAAAGCAGACGGGCTCCTTTGATGTAATTCTCGCAAAGAGAATATTGCGAGCCGAGGATAAGTCAGACCATGTTTGTAGTTCTTATGCAAGGAAAATGAAAACCCTTCATCAGTTGTATTCCTTTGTGTCAAGCGCCTTGTTTAGTTCTGAAAACCGGGAGAGTGAAAGTGAAGAGTCATTCACGCGCTGTCTTGCAACATCGGTTTCTTCGCCCGATTGAATTCTACAGGGTAGAAAAATTCAGAAACATGTACTTGACAGTGTAGCTGTGTAGCTTGACCGTAAAGAAGGAAAAGAGAAAGAGTTGGAAGCAACTGGATTAAAACTCAAGAGAACCAAGTACAGGAAAACGCTATTCGCCAGTTCCAGACCGACAAATATATGATGTTTTTGTTGGTGATTGCGATGGGGATTTGTCTTCTACACTGCAGTATGCACGACTTTTCAAAAGTAAACGAAACGAGAATCAAAGTAGTGAGTTCTTATCCGAGCGGACACGTTGAAGTTCGATGTCCCCCAAAAAAAAAAAAACATATCAGTGATTAAAAACATTGCTTTCATGGTGTTGCGAAAGCGATTTATAAAATAAATAATTCTACGCGCCCTCGGCTGTCTAAACTTACTTGACAGGCGGTTGTCACTTTTCTAATCTGCGGCACGTTTGCGGTGACCGTTTTCACGCCTTGCGGAGTCCCGGAGATTCCGGGGTGGAAATGAAAATTTATGAGAGATCGTTGCAAGCTCTCCTTTCCTCGGCCCCTCGCTCGCACGTTCTCGCGACGCTCACTTCGCTTGCCCAAATAGGAGAGCTTGCCCGCAGGCTAAATCTGTGCATGTTACAGTAGTTTTCAAACAAATTTTTGCCGGTGGCAGCATTGGAATGGCTTTTTTTATCACGGCGCGTAACTAGGCTTCAGGCTTGTCAGTTAAACGTGGGGTCGGGGCCGGGGTCTATCTTTTTGTTTAAAAGAGTGCTGTTTTAGGGTTAGGGTTAGGGTTAGGGTTAGTGTCAACCCTAACCATAACCATAATCCTAACCCTAAAGCAGCATTCTTTGAATATAAGACAGACCCCGACCCCGGCCCCGGCACCGAACCCAACCCCGACCTCGTCCCCTCGTTTTACTGATACCCGGCTTCTACCGCACAAACTGTGCAAAAACTTGAACAGTTCAGGTGTTTACACGAGTCCGTGTAACAGTGGAACCTTTCCTGTCAGGTCAAGTTGCGCACCTTGCCGCAGGTCCCATGTAAACGAAAGGCAGATCCGATTTCACAAGTGTTTGTCCGTTCAAAACTTTGTCCGGGCCCGAGTAAAGGGGGTCAGTCTTTAAGATAGCAGTTATATTTCTACTCATTCTATTCCTTCCCGTATTTTTGAAAGAAGAAAATGAGTCAAAAAATGTAAAGTTTTGCATTTATTAATAAAATGAGTTTGATTCTTACCAACAGGCACGAGCTGCAGTGCTGTCTATCGGATTTTCCTTATCCTTCGGTGCAATGTTCAGCAAAACATGGCGAGTTCACAAGATATTCACAGCGGCCAAGACTCTCAAGAAAATGGTACGATGTGGTCCCCTCCATATTGCAGTTCGGTCTAGGTGTTTGCGAATTATATGGCAGTTAAAGGCTTCTTTTGACCTTGACCTTTTGACCTTGACCTCTTCACCTTGAATTAGGTGAAAATTCAAGACGGATACTCCACGATTAAAATACGAGCATTAAACTAGTGTAAAGTAACCTCAAAAGAAACCCTAGCTATCGTTGTGTAGACCTTTTGTTTAATTTAGGAAATTTTATAAAAAATATTAGCTTTAGTGTTCTATGCACTGTTTTTCTCTTACAGCAACATCCTTTACTTGTGTCCCTCGACAAATTACAATTGGGTAGAATGATATGGTGAGATAAACAATTAAAACCCAGCAATCTGAAATGAAGCATGAACGGTTTTTTAACATTCCAATGCTAAAAGTAATCACCAATGCATAAAATGTAGTTAAAGCTTTAGAGTATGTATACTAACTTCTATGATGTTCTTAATCGAATGAATCTTTAACGGGAATAATTTCGTAAAACACTGTTTTCTATTACATTGTAACAGGCTATAAAGGATCTTCATCTCCTTGCTATCGTAGCAGTATTGTTAACAGTGGATGTTATTTTCTTGTCCTGTTGGATTATTATCGACCCATTCCAAGCTGAAGAATTAAAATTCGAAGAACTGGTAGGAACTTTTGAGTCGTTTTAACTTTTCGCGTGAACTATTGATCACTATATAACCTTGGTGTTTAACAGCTTCAACTCCTTGAAAAAACTCGAAGGTCATATTATCATTATTCACTCTTGCAGGGGTACAATAGGCTCGTGAAGCTCCAGCTTTGGAGGCTCCTACTAGGTTGTTTCTTTCTTGTTTCTTAGAATGGATAACCTTTCTACTGAGCTACGGCAGGCAAACTCTCTTGGGGCTTTCAGGGCTGGCTGAAAACCTTTTTTACTATAATAGTTGTTTCTTGTTTTTTTTTTTAATTCCTGATGGATTGACATAGCTTAAGTAAAAGTTTTCATCCATTTATTTCATTCATTCATTCATTCATTCATTCATTTATCTACTCATTCATATAGGCGTACCTTTTAAAGCATGATTACTTCCATGCCATTTTTTATCCATAGAGCCGAAAGGAACAAGACACTATCATCATTCCGGCTTTATACCAGTGCACCTGCAAATACAAGACCTATTTTCTGGCAGTCCTGTTTGCCTACAAAGGAATACTTTTGTTATTTGGGCTTTTCCTAGCCTGGGAGACACGCAATGTCACAATTCCTGCCTTAAATGACTCCAAGTACATTGGGATGTCTGTTTATAATGTTGTTGTGTTGTCCATTATCGGTGCTATTGTGGCCATTGCACTGGATGGATCCATGTACTACGAAGCTCCTTATGCCATTTCCTCGCTCTGTCTTATTGTTTGTACTACAGTTACGCTGTTATTGGTATTTGTTCCAAAGGTAAGTCATAACGTAATTGTGCCGCTGCTACTGCTTCGTACTGCTATTGCTACTGCCGCTACTGCTGCTACTACTATTACTAACTACCACTACCACTACCAGTACCACTACCACCACCACTGCTGCTACTAGACCATCATTACTGCCATTATGACTAACACTACTACTACTACCACCACCACCAAAATTACCACCGCCCCGCACTATCCCTTCTACTTCCACCACTACCACCGCCTCTACCACCACCGCCACTACCACCACCTCCACCACCACCACCTTCACCACGACTATCACTACCACTGCCACCAATAGCACCGCCCCCACCACCACCATCACTATCACCACCAATACCACTACCACTAACACCGCCCCCACCACCACCACCACTACCTCAACCATGTCCTGACGTCTTACTGTAAACTCCGTTAAAGTAACCAGCAGTGTGAATGAAAATCGGCGTTTTCATTTTAAAACACCACCCACTACCTTTACCTTTAGATCTACCAATTCCTTATGAAGGAAGAAGGAATCCTCCAAGCCTCCTCTATGCATGCTGCTGCTACCGGCAGACCGCGGGCTCATAGTCACAGCTTGACGTGCGCAAGCCCTGTGCTTAAAGAACGACATACCTCATTTACCTGCAAAAGCACACAAACAGATTTTGATGCCCCAGAAAGTGCAGGTAAAGAAAGTAATAATTGAATAATGGCATGAATACCAAGTGCATGATGTCAAGTGATAAGTAAATACATTGTAGTTAAGACAAGTAACGGTTTGGTGGTTGAAAATCCACAGCGTGGTTCTTCGTCTTCCATGCCGGATAAAATTGGGCTGAGTCGAAAGCGAAAAACTGGAGAGTAACGTAAACTGTAGAATATCAGGTGAAAACCTCTCCGGAGCAAGTGCCAGAACCAAAACCACACTCGACCCACCCTCTGAGCTTCAAACCTGTGTCACATTACTGAGGTAGCAGTGGGGATGGTGTGCTGCCATCACTACGCCACCTTTGCTCGTTACAATATCGATAACGTCTAAAGATAAAAAATATTCCTAGATCCTTCCTTTGAGGATCATTTAGGCAGTCTATAGTTTTTGCTTGAATGATCATATTTTTGTATTCCGCAAGACATTTATGAGCATGAGCAGCACGAATAGCATAAACACATCACGCACGGGAAACGTCTACTTGTCTGTCTCTATTTCCATTACTGGCAACCTTTTCCTGCTGTCAAATGAAGCAAGGAAGGAAAATACATGTAGGATAAAGGTTGAAATTGTTGCTGAAGTTGAATAATTTTTTTTTTCTATATTGTGTTGCCTCGCATCATCAGAAACTTGTTTCAAAATTTCAAGCTCTTTTACTATGCTTTTAGGCCCCAGTACTCTCCTCATTCCACTTCTTGAAAACCGGGTAGAATACGATGGACATGCAAGAGTTTAAAAATGTTGTAAGTAATTCATACGCACACTTTATTCCCCTCATCTCATCTCTACATAACAGCTTTAGTTTCTAGTCACACATTCTATATGAAACCATCTTGACAGATAGTAATGAACCTCTTGGCAGCTGGGGCCTTCTTCTTGTTACTCTTTTTATCTTTTTTCTTCAGGAAATATCTGTTGATGGAACATATCTGCCGGGTACTCTGCCCTGTTCAGAGTCACCCTCCATAATTCAGTGCCTTGAAAGATAGGAGTCTCATTTGCTGACGAAATCACTGCCATTTGGTCTTGTCTTCCTCTTTTGCCTTGAGAAAAGTGCGATTGTCACATATGAAATCTCAATAGACCATTTTACAGCTGTGGGCTAAGTATCCTGGGCTTTGAGTGAACGTCAGGATAAGGTTGACCTTGTTTTAATACAAAACCCTTTCCTTTTCTTATGGAAGTTATGTCTAATAATTTCTAGTTAGTAGAAGAACAACATGAATGATTTACAGAGGGCATAGAATTTACATAGCAGGAAGGGTTTTATCAAAACAAGGTCAACTCCGGCCTCGTTTTCACCTCTCTGTTTTTCTTTGGAATTTCTGATGGTTAAGAAATTACATTCTCTTTCCCTTCTTGATGCACTGAGGTATCTGCCAGTGGAATTCTAAGCACAGATCTCTATGTTTCGGTTGTCAAAACCAATCTACTACTATTTCTTTACACTGTTCGCCTACAAATCTATTTCTTTTTTCCGCCAAACTGAAGGTTAGAAAATTACCGCTTAATAGGCATATTGACTGGAATATTAAACAGCAGCGGCTATAGCAGGAAGCTTATCTTATATAAGGCACAAAGTGCTTTTATCTTAGATCTGCTGGTGGAATACTGTGGGCCACGTCCTCCGGTAACACGAGGGTAACTCCAGGCAACAGATCTTTTTAAGTCGCAGCTCCAGAGCATTGGAAGGCTTTGCCACAGGAGCTCCGCGCCATTGCAGAAGTTAATACTTTCAGCGCCATCTCAAGGCCTATCCTTATAAGACTGTTTATGATAACCGTTATGGTACCAAATTATAAATTATGTTTTTTTTTTTTTCTCACATTCGAATAGCTTTATTAGAAGCTTGTACTTTTACTAATTGTTATTCATGTTTCATGCATTCATGTTTCGCCTTTTTGACTGGTTTCAATCCCCTGGCTAATTAGCAATTATTGAAAAAGGCTTAGTATGATCTGCAGAATTCTGGAGATCGAGGAGTAACGTATATCTATCAGCTTCGTCTGATAACACCCTCCGAGATCTGCATAATTCTCCAGATCGTACGAAAGCCGAATCCAATAATTATTTTCCTGTTCATTCAAAATAATTCCTAGTTTACTGCGTTTTTCAAAACCCCGCGAATTCTGAAGTTCAAAAGCCAACTGACGTTTGTGTTTTTCGCTGCCGTCAATCATTTTAGGAAACAGAACTTTACTTTAACGAACTTTACTTTAACGGGTTCAAAAGGTAACGGTTTGTGATATGTGATTGGTGGATTTCAATCCGTTAAGTGTGTTTCTGTGTTTCAAGGTTCGCTGCTTGTGATCGTAATTATGATTGACGGCAGCGAAAAACGCAGTAGTGAAAGGGGCTTATGAACTTTAGAGTTCACATGTTTGTGAAAAGCGCAATAAAAAAGCTAAAACATGCTTACATCGATCGATATTAATTTCCCTTCTTCATTTGCCTGTTTCTAGTCAAGTTCAGGATATAAAAGGATGTTTAGTCTGGCAGATATTCTTCAAATAGCAGGTGTCATCCTTCTAGTGCTTTCTTGCTATTTTTGCTATGTTTTTAGGAAGTAGCACGGCTTTTTCTTCTTCACTTCACAAAACGTGTGAAATGTTTCGCCATTGTCTTCTGCTTTACCAAAACAAGGCAACTTCGTCCCCAGGGCTTCTTGGTTGCCGTTCCTTTTTTCTGGCGATACCCTCTACAATTGACGTCATTTTGAGGATATCACAAACGTTTTTTTAACGCTAGCTGGTCATGAAAATTAACCGTGGGATTTTAGCTAATCGGAAAAGGAGAAATATTTTGAACAATTAATACAGTAGAACCCCGATTTCTCGAACCGTCGTTTTTCCGAATTTCGGCCCTACTGTGATTCGAACCAAACCTAATTTCCCCGGCTGGGGTGTATACTGTGTTTTACTCCCGATTTTTCAAACCTCTCCATAATTCGAACCAATGTGCTTTTCGCTATGTGGTTCGAAAAATCGGGATTCTATGGTTGTAATTCTTCACAACTAACCAGAGCCTGCCAGATACAACTGCCAGATACGTTTCCAAGTAGCGGGCGGCAGCCTCGCTGTCTATGCATGAGTGAACTAAAAACATGTCACAAGAAAGGTCAAGAAAAAATGCGCTAAAAAATATCTTTTTATATCCTGCAACCGTGCCAAGAAACAATCAAATGTTTTTGTTTTAAAGTAAGTCTACAAGAAGGTAAGGTTGTTATGAACTTGTATATTAGTGATTGATGATATTTAACAATTAATGAATGAGGCTGAGTATCTTATGAAGAATTATGGAGATCAAGGAGGGTGTTATCCGTCGAGGCCGTAACATCAGTAACTGGTTACGGTGAATTAAACGTGTGCTTTTAGCCAATCAGAATCGGGGAAATATTTTAAATGAATGATAATAAGAATTAAGCAGACGTCGGAGGCTGTTATCTACCCTATAGGCCTTGATGACGTCTCCTCGATCTGCATAATTGATCCTTCACATGATACTCAACCTCATTCAATAATTGCTTAATAGGTAGGAGAAGTGTGACGTCACGTTACCATGGTAGAAAATTTCTGGATCACAACAACAGGGAGCTTAAGCAACGATAACGGCGACGGCAACGAAAACGGCAAAACAAGCAATTGGTTTATATTAGCAAAACAACAACTTTGCACGTGCACCATGCTTTTTTGTACATTCCTTAGCCGTCGTTGCCAACTGCGACATGAAACTTCCTAATTTATAGAGTAGGTGAACACAGCACAAAAACTTCTTCTTTTTCTAAACCTGGATACGGTCCTTACAGATTCAATTCCAGAAATGTTCACCAACATTTAACAAATTAAATGGAACAGAATAATGTCCATAAAGTTTGAAATAGTGCAAATTCACTTTTTAAGTGACATCCAGAAATTTTGTTACCATGACAACGTGACGTAACGGCTTCTCCTCTCTATAGTAGGTTATTAAATTCAATTCACTTGTGCTATTTTTATTTATATTTACAGTATATTGCAATGCGCGCATAATCATGTTCTAGGATGCTCGCCGTAGAACCAATAAATTATATAATGCAGTTTTCGATAGTAGACTATTCTGCCATTTCACCAGAACAATATATCAAGCGGTTGACTGAAAAGCATTACATGTGCTTCATTTAAAGCTACTTGTGTAACCAAGTGATTTTTCATTTTAGTTAACAAAACAATGTTCAAGTACCGAGGCTCCGTCGCAGATGACATACCCTACGAAATACGCATGGACGACATCCATTTGCATGATACAATGATGGTAGAATTTAGCCCCCGTTCCTGCGAGACTGTCAATGGAAGTCCAAGCACCCTTACCTGAGACAGTACAGAATTATAAGTTTAAAATCATCTATTACTCGTTTTTCATTGCATTAAGATAACGCCTGTCGCCCAAGGCGCCACTGATTATTTTTTTGTGACAAATTAAGACAAGGTAATTCGAGTGTAAATTAAGTGTTACGTAGTTTATTGTTAGTAACAACATATTTCCCAAAACTTGCATCCCGACATTTTGAGATATATTCGAATAAATAGACCTTGTATCCCGGCACAGCTCAGCTTTTACATGATCCGTGCTTGTTTGTGGTAAACGTTACGCGATGATACGCGCAATAAATAGACCCTTCCACCGTTTTTTAATAAGATTTAACAAGAACATTATGAGTAGTATAGGGCGCATCGGTTAGGCCTCTTTTTTGCGCAGGAATTCGTTAACTTGCGCAGGAATACATTAACGCCAATGAAGTCATAACCTTTTGTCTTTATCTCATGAATAAAATGCGCAGGAATCTCATAAAGATAAGGTCTTGTGCTCTTTTTAGATGGATGATGTCATTGCCTTTTGTTTTTATCTCATAAATAAAATGCGAGGGAATCTCATTATTTTCCCTTTTGTGCATTTCTCATACAATAGAAACAATAGGCTTGCCTAGACTTGCCCGGTAAGTAACTTGAGCCCGGTTTAAACGTCTATTAAAAGGTTCTTTCCAGCGATATATATGTAAACAGATTTTTGCTAACTGTTCCCAGTCCAATCAGAAGTTTAAAAAACGTGGAAAGGCCTCTTCAGTGTACAACACATTGATTCTGCCTTATCATAACCATCACCCATTAAAGGTACATACAAAACCATTCATGTCAAAATTATTTAGATTTGCACACTAAGATTTTTTTCATAGGAAGAGATCTCTTATTTACCCTCGTTTTCAAAAATAGGCTTGGGACAACTACGAAATAGCCTATTACTGTCAAACCTAATAATTTATAAACTGTTGATCGTGTTATGACCGGCCGCAAGATCAGGACTCGAGAGCAAGACAGGTTCTTTACCATTTTACGTGGGCAAACCGGTCGCTTCAAAGTTGGGGCAAATAGTAATAGACTGATTTAGCAACCGAACGGGAACGTCAGTTGACGACGGCGCGCGCAAATCAAACAACTGGCTTGACCAATGGCAGAGCGGCAAATTGGGCACCGGAAGTCGTGTTTAATCCTTTCAGCGCGCTTTCCCGTCGTCAAATGACGTTCCCGTCCTGTTGCTAAATTAGCCTATTAAGTAATATTCAGGACTGGTAACTTTCGTCTCAGAGTCGCGTTTACCACTTGTATAAATCACTTCCATTTATCGAAAAACGGCCGCGAAAGCCTGAAACTAGTATCAAAGATGGCTTTGAAGAAATAGAACATGAATTTAGGCGACAATCCGTCCAGAAAAACAGGAGTACTTTTTCAGATGTTCCCTTGCTCCCTGTAATATCCGCTGGAACGACTCAAAAGATCATGTTCCATTTACATTTTAACTGGATTTTGTGTAAGTGGTAAACAACCACAAATTGAGGGCGTTTCCCATTATGCCAAACCGACTGGTTGGAAACAGGAGAACTACATGTACGATCGAGGCGCAAAAAAGCTCCAACCGGAGCGAGGCGTTCCACTTACGTTTCAAGCAAAAGTTTAAT